TAGAACATCAATTACACATTTATATTCATTTCCAAAAGTCATTTACAATACTCATGATCTTCATAATTATTACGTATCCATCGTGTCCTGAGTGCAAAAAGTATCAATATATCAAAAAAAAAAAAAACCTGAAGAACCCTGATTAATCTCACACTCCTACTCCATTGCCCTGACCTAAAATCATTAACCACATATAATGAGCTTAAAAAGCTTAGTAGGTCACCAACCTACAACTGAAATCAAAGCACAATCAATGCAGAAACATAAATCAGTGCAATAATAGTAATCAATATATAATCAGTATCAATACAAAAACAGTAGAATCCACAATTATTAGTAGTGGAATAAGTAAACAGTAGAAAAACCCATAAATCTCAATGAACCAGTACATACATCAAATCTTTAAAGGAACCATCGTATCTATAACATCAGTCAATTCAATAGAGAAATTGTCGTATCTAAAATCTCAGTCAAATCATTAAGGAAATCATCTCCTTCAATAATATCAGTTGGTATTAAAAATCGTATAAAGCATCAAATCAACAGCGCTAGTAATTGTTGAAATCAGATTAATGAAATAAATCATATCGGAATGTACAGTTGTTATCCAATTATTCGATATTACGATCACATGCAATTTAGTTAATCTATATCACATGCTCAGTGGATCACATGCATAATGTCAGTACAGTGACTCAATGGTATCAGTGCCTTTATCGGTGTCTGTATCAATATCAGTAACAATCCAGGGACAGAATAATAATGCAATAATAGTGAAATCGTACAGTAATAGTAAATCTGTACCATATCAATAAATCCGTACAGTATCAGTAAGAACAATGCTTAAAACATGCATTTCAGTACAATAGTCATACTCAACAAGTATAAGCACTAGATATTACGATATTTTTCAGTCTTGTATTAGTATCAGTATCATTATCCATTAGCTCATTAAATAGAGTCATCACTCTTTGCCCGTCGACACAGTAATCATCTCCTTATAACTCACAATGAGTATCACATGAATCAGTAGAGGATAACACCAAATTATATTTAAAGGAAAGCTCGTCGGGCCACCATCATGTACAGGTCAATCAGTCTCAAACCAACAGTTCAACCAATCTTTACTTATCTTACACACACGGTCGTATCACATTAATATAACAGCGCTTTAAATCATATAACCACATTCATTTTCATCTCATCAATGCATTGTATCAAACAGACATAATTTAGCTTAATTTAGAGAACCCTTAAAATATTGTATGGTAGACATAAGTCATTGTAAAATATACAGTTTCAGAAAATTACCAAATTATTAAAGATCTTATAAAACAACATTTCAAAGCTTTTATTGTACTGAAGCACTATTTTTCAACATCTAGATAATGTTCTATTCGATAAAAACCCAACAGAATTCAGAATACCTGGTGAAAAATTTTAAGAAAATACTCAAAACGTGCAAAATCATAATCTCTATGACATACCAAAAGTTAAACGATAAAAATTTCGTCAATACAAAGATATGCATGTTTTTCGATAATGGAAACACAAATCTAAGTACAAAAATATCAAAACACAAAATCTTCAAAATGAGAAATAGGATATGAATTACTTACTGCGAGATAAGCAATTCTTCCAACTGTGTCGACGGACGAAAATCGCTCCGCGGCCTCGAAACCAAGCTTTTCTACCGCGGCGTCGACAAGTCTTGGGCGAACTGACGAATGGCGACTGGGCAAAGGCTGAGCACGTAGGGTCCATGCGAGTCGAGGTCAAGTCATTATGGATTCACGCGGACCAGCGGAGTCAACAAATGGAGAAGTCAGAGTGAGGCGGGGCTTGACAAGTCAAATGGAAATGACCAATTGACCCGAGTCGGCAGAGCTCCAACACGAGACTCGAGAGGCCAGACACGAGAGCACTAGCGCGGCAGGTTCGCATGCCCGCAGGAGCTCGTAGAAGCTCACACCTAGCGACAAAACCAGGTTAGGTCGCGTGAGATCCAAGTTAAACAAGTCGACCAACAGGTTGTCTGGTCAACCCGAACCCAACCCATTTTTCAAACGAATCAAAAATCCAAACCCAACCCATTTCACAAACGGGTTGACCTGAACACAAACTTTTAGGAGTCCAAGTCGGGTTTCAATTCGTGTCAATTTTTGACACCCCTAATAATATTAAGTAATATTAACAAATTTTTTATTTAATACTTAACATATCATATCAACCTTTTAACTTTTTTTCAAAGCTATATATATATATATATATATATCTTTAAATTTAAACTTTAAAGTTAAAAAAAAATCAAATAATAACAAATTTTTTAATAAAAATATTAAATTATAGATTAGCTCTTCCCCCTATTAAAACCCTAACAACATCTTCAAAAATTTTTTTTTTTTAATTTTCTAATGCTAAAAATCATAGTTGAATTTATTACATGAAAAAAAAAAACAAACCCAAACATAATCTTCTCTGTCATCTACTTGATTATCTATAATTCCGAAAACATACTAATTATTTCAATGGATATGAAATAGAAATCCAATTAGCATTCTACATAAAAAGTAATTAAGATCAAAGAAGAAAATCATATGGATTAGAAAAATGTAGAAATAACTGATAATTTATTCCGAGCTTTAGAAAAAAAAATCTGTACAAAAGAATAGCTTTTGACTGTACAAGATACATTAATCCAAGCGGTTGTTCAACTGTCATTTTCCTGATTTCAGCAAGCACGCATATATGCTATTTTCCTACCTAACGAAATCTATTTTCAACACATCATTGATTATTTTATCTGAGGCAGAACATGTGGAATGAACAACAAATAAGGAGTTGCCATTTGATAGCAGACAAAAATACTTTATATGAAACAGTTTCCATGGCCTTAACAAAGCAGCAGCTTCCCAAACACCCACGGGTCAGGCCACACAAGTTCCACATCACAAACATTAACCAGAAATTAATAAAGCTCATAGAGCCAACAGATTTCGCCATGGCTTCATTTGAAACAGCTTTCATATTGATTTTTAAAACGGCTTTTTAGTACAAAAATTTGTTGAACTAAAAAATTTTGTGCTGAAAAGCTGCTTTATAAAAAGATAGAAAACCATCCCAAAAGAAACCTATATGCTATATCATTTCTGTTTTGAAAGGTACAGAATTGTGGAGGATGACATGTCCAGCTATGAAAAATCTAAGCCATGACTACTGAATCAAACATTAACCACTACTCTCCAATGGCAAACAAGAACAAAGTTAATATATAAACCTGAATCTTTATCAAATCCATTGGTTAAAATACACCTGTAAGCCTTTCATCGAATCCATTAACAATTCTTAATGCACAACTACATAAAATACTTGTGTGTTCTTACAGAATCTAACCATCACTAACAATAGAAGTGCAAAAAATAATATGGATAGAACATTAATATGAATAGAAGTGCAAAAAAAATCATTTAAATTGAATTTAACATGTGTTTCATGCAACAGGAGGATCCACAAAATTAATCCTAAATTTTAAGATAAAGCTAATAATGATGATAATAAAAATCACATGATAAAAAGTTCATTCATATAGTATAAATTTTCTATTCCCCTAAGCATAATAAATAAATTCTTTTACACTTATATAATTTAACAACTTCTCTCATAAATCCTCAGAGTTATGCATCGCATAAAAGCTTTCACCCTCCATGTTTATAGTATAGAAGCTTCTCTTGTATATCATATCGTAGGAAACATATCATAAAAAATCATAGCATACTAAATTTGCTATAAACATTTCACCAATGGCCAATTAAATCGGTAACCCAACTTGATTTCTACGTAAAGGTGCTTCAGTTCACTGACACAAACCATATAAATCAAAGAATATCATTCTCGATAAAAATTGTCGAAAACGGATCAGTAAGATAGATGTGGCGGACTATTTGATGCATTGCTCGTTAGTGCAACCATAATGTTACTAATGTAGATGTCATACATAATAAGGGAGGAAGCAACAATTACAGGAGTAGGATATTTCAATATACGTCACAGTAATACTATAAATGCTACATTTTTCAAATAAATTCAGAATTAAAATAAATTTTTTATGATTTTCATGTCACAACTTTTGGCCTAACAAAAATAATTCTTCTACATACACAAATTTTTGCCCCAAGAATAAAAGAAACTCCATTTTTAATGTGAATTCATTTGGAGAATAAAGTATTAATCTATCTTAAGGCAAAGACTTTCTCTCCGCAATTTTTTTTAGCTAGTGATGGTATGTATACATAGCAATTGGTATCAGAATATAAGTTGATAAGAGCTAACTTTCACATGTACTTAATAAAAATATGACAACCTTAACTTGCTGCAAGAAAGTAGCCAATGCACAAATGTTGAACCTTTATCCTAACATGCAAATTTCACATCATATTTTCATACCAGTCATATTACAATGAAAAGTTGGAACAGGATGTAGCCATTAGAATAACAATTACAACCAAATGCCATTGTGAACAAGAAAGCATCAATAAACTTTCAACAGGCGACATGGCACAAAAATACTCATAAAGAAACCTGTAGCACACAATTCTTCATTTTTAAAATGAAGGAGATAGTGCAGTTATCAAAACATTACTCCAAACCACCATGAGGAACAAGAATATAAAAATAGGTTACTTCAAGTGATTTTCTCAATGTCTTTTCATAACTTCTGCAAGAAGGCGAACACTATTTTACTTGCTCAAAGTATTTGTAAGTCTAAAACATCATTAAATCATCATAATTAATTAATTTAGAAAATTCTAAGGTAAACCAGAACAATTGAACAACAAATAAGATGTTGTCATTTGATAAATAGGTATTATCTAAAACAGTTTCCATGACCTAAACAAAGGAGAAGCTTCCCAAACGCCACAATTCAGGTATTAGAAACAATCCCCTCATTTAAAATATCTACCCTAATTCACCAACAAGAAAATGTGCCTTAAATATCTGGATTCATAACACAGCACATATATTAAACTGATTTCGAACACAGAATACACATATAATTTCCATTTTAAAAGGCACAGAATTATACACGAGATAATAGGTTCATCAATGAAAAACTTAGACATAACTACTGAATCTATCATTAACCAGTAACAAGCAACAAACAAGAACTAATTGACTTAGGAGCAACAATTTCACAGCAATAGCATAAAAAGCACCAACTGAAACTAAACATGACAGAAGCTACAGTTACTAGATCAAACCACAGTGGCACTACTGCTGAATATAGTAGTAAGCGAGAGGATCACCCGCCGGGGCAGGGGCAGTCATTACAGATGGTCTTCCAATATCCTCGTTACCCTCTTCCCTGGGCACTATATCAACCAAGAAATCAAACACATCCGTCCTAGTGATGGCCGCAGCAATATCGTTCTTTTGAAGAGTACGGCGCTTGTTCTCTTCAGCATGGGCCCAGGACCTATGGGTTAGTTCAAGAATGAACATTTCACATGCCCGAGCAAAGACCACCGGAGCCTCAGCTGCAATCATCCTAACATCCTCATCAGCCTTCATAATCTTCTTGATCCGAGCAAGAGGGAGGCTATGATTCTTGAAGTCACTAGTCTGGTCGATTTCTCGGTACTGATCTGCCCAGAACATCTGGAGCTGCTGCTGCTGCTGTTGCTGCTGTTGTTGCTGATGGTGGTAGAGTTGCGGATAAGCCTGGTAGGGGACATTAGCACCAACGCCCATCGGCGCCTGAGATCCGTGGCCCTGCTGATCCATATCGGGTCCTGTTGCAGAGGTTAAAAGAAGTTTTCAATTCATATATTCGGCATAAAAGATTTTGAAAAAAAGGAGATGGGCGGAAAGGTTGTTTCTAGGAGGGAAGTAGTTTCTAGGGTTAGGGTTTCGGAGATGAAAATCAGAAGAAAAGTATGCGGGCGGAAATCTGTGAGATCAGCTGAGAACCTTTAAAATGACGCGCGGATGAGAGATTTAGCCCTTGGGAATTCGCTCAAAAACGTCTCGAAGACGGAAAAAGTAGAATCAGCGTCGAAGACGAAGATTGGCGGAACGGACCGGCTTAGTTGAAAAGGAAGGTCAAATTTTAAGAAGGGTGTTTTTTAAATTTAGCCTAAGGAGCCTACTGAAAAATTAATTTAAAACGGAGCAAAGTCGTCAAATATTTTGGGGTATTGTAAATACGCTAAGGGGCTGTTTGGTTGCCTGAATTAGGACGATAAAGTAAAATAAATACATGTATTTACTAAATTAGGCTGTTTGGTTAATTTTGAGCGGAACAAAAGTAACTCATCCCATGCATTAGGCGTGTAATAGGGAGGCTGTTTTGCGTGAATTAGAAACCCGCTCATATCGAGCTGGTTACAAATTCGCTCGACGAAGATTTTCTCCGCGTCGTTGCTGTTCATCTTCATTGCTTCGCAGGTGGTGTAAGATTGCACGAGAGGCTTCTTCTGCTCCTTTGTTCTTCTCAGACTTCGCGCGACTACGTTCCCTTTGCTGGCCTGTCCGATTGGAAGCTTCGCCATTTTCATCGGAGGTAAAGACGGGAGCTCGATTTCGCATCATCGTCGTTACTGTTCGGCTTCATTGCTTCGCACAAGGTGTAAGATTGCACGAGAGGCTTCTAGGGCTCCCTCTCGTGTTTTTTTTTTTTATAAATCAAACTCCCTCTACGTCTCCATCTCGTTTTTTCGCGATACCTCCTGAGTCCTGGCCCTGTCTGCTCCCAGTTCGTGAAAAGCCCCAAGTATGCCCATCTCCTGCTGCTCGCGAGACCTGGCTTCGACCTCCTCTCTACCGTTCGCAAGCCCTAGGACCGAAGCCTAGCCCCAGTCTCCCTCGCCATTCGCAAGAAGCCCCCTTTGCCCGTCGCTCCCAGGTCCATCTCCTTCTCCTCTCTCGGCTTTCTTGCGTGAATCCCAGGCCGAGCCCCTCAAAGACAAGCAGGCTGAATGGGAGGTCATATTTGGGAATTTTTAATGATGTTGACGGTTCATATTCAGCTCTTGATACTCCTTTTACTGATGTTGGCAATGTTGTAAGCTGTGATCACTCTATGATTGTCCTTTTGTAGCTTTCATTTTGAAATAGTTTTTCTGAATAATGCTTTCAAGCCTTAACTCTGTGAAAATGAATTTGTCAGTTTGCGTTAAGTCTAATTTGAACAGGTTGCTGGATCGAATTGCTTGTTTATTGAAGGAGCATCTGCATCACACGCAATATCTGTATTTATAAAATATCAGTTTTTGCAATTGTTTCCAGTTTTGTTCTCAAAATTGTTCTTATTATGCCAGCTTTATGTTGCGTATGAATTTTAATCACTAGATCAAATTGAAGGGACCGTCGGAATTTGTCAGAAAATGACATTATTGGATTTCACTATTTATGCTAGCATGTAGGCAAAACAAAATTTGCACAATGAATACAAAACAGATAATTTGTTAAATTTGATGAGGTATAGACCTGTTGACCGACTGCAATCTCACTATTTGGTCATCTTGCTTGGCTATGCTGCCAATCAGAACACCGCTTGCTTGGCTTAGACATGACCAATGGCTGCCTTCAGCAACATCTCCATCCCAAAACATATCAGGCAGATAAACCATACCGGCAGCTTATTGGAGATGCGTTTAAAGATTGCTCTTGACGTGGCTCGTGCCTTGAGTTTTCCATGAACACTCCATCCCTCCAGTCATCCATAGGGACTTCAAGAGCAGTATTGGATTAGTTGAAATTTTGGTTTCTTAAAGATTTACCTATTTATAAAAACTTAAATTTTTTCTTTGCCTTAGTTATTCATGAGCTTCTACTTTTCTGTCTTCGAAACTAGAGAGTCTGTCCCCTGTGAGAATCATAAACTAATTGGCTTGTGAAAATTTGTAATTATTTAACATACTTAGCTGAAAGTTGGTGCCTTAGTTTTTTGTTGACTTTAATTTATTAATTATGTTGATTTTCATCATTGATTATTTAGCCAACCATTATTGAAATTTTTGAGATTTATAGCATTCATTTGTGTGAAGAAATTTTGATATTTTGGGTAAATTTTTTAGTAAATTATCACTTATGTAGAGAATTTTGAATTTTTATTTTAAAAAAATTTTGTACAAAAAAATTGCTTTTATGAAATAGTTAAAATTTGTACGAAATGAAGCCTTAGGATTTTGTTATCGACGGCTTTCTTACTGTTTTTTTTAAAATAATTTTTTGGTACAAAATTTTTTAACAAAATTTTATGTAGTAAGAAGCGTTTTATTAAAGCAATAAAAAAGTTTTCCCAAATGAAGACTTAATTTTGTTTAGGATGATTTTTTTATTGCTCTTAAAGCCATTTTCCAGTGTAAATGTAAAAATTAAAAATTTTTAAATTGAAAGTTGTTTTAAGAAGCAATAAGATAACGTCGTCCCAAATGAAGTCCTTATATCATATAATTAATTAATTAAGCCCATCTCAAATTTAGAGGTGTTAAAATAAATTATTAATTATAAAAAGCCGCTTTTACTTTACTCTGGTTCTACCTAACCAAACACGGAAACAATTCTCCTGCATTTATTTTCCAAACAACCAAACAATCTCAAAGTATTCAGAATACATTGCATTTACTTTACACTGCATTTCTTTTTCAGGCAACCAAACGTCCCCTTAATCAATTGGCTAAATCTGAATGCACTTTATGATTTAGCGTATTCTGCTCAAAATAAAAAAAAAATTAATATAAATTAGAGAGAAAGAAAGAGAGCAAGAGATAGAGAGAGAGGAGGGAGAAAACGGGAAGAGAGCAATAATAAGAATAAGAGAGAGATGGGGAGAGAGATGATCACATATTATTTTCGTATATAATATTATATGAATATTCTCTTTTATTTATTATTTTTAACTATTATTTAAATATTATTTAATTCAATTTTTTAAATAATTGTTTAAAATTTTTTAATTAAAATAAATTATTATACATACATTTATTTTAATTTAAATTTTGTAGTCTATTATATATATATATATATATATATGCAATATTAGATAAAAAAATAATATTTATTAAAAAAAGTAATTTATATTTTTAGCAAAATTTTAAACTATATTTTATTCAAAATTATATAATATTTTTTAAATTTTATTAAAAATATAAAAAATGTAATACATTTTCCAAAAAACTTAAAATCGTATCAAAATTTTATTTTAATATTTCAAAATTAAAATTTCTTTCTAATAAAATTTTGATAAAAAATATATTAAATTTTTAATAAAATATTATTTTTATATAATATTGCATATATTAAATGATCTAAAAAATTTAAATTAAAATAAAATTATGTATAATCATTTATTTTAATTATTTTTAAATTTATTTAATTAATTAAATTACCAAAATTTAAATATTAATTAAAAGATATTTAAAATATATTCATATAACATTGTGTAAGAAAATGATATCTCCTCATCTCCCTTACTTTTACTTTTCCAGTGGCTCTCTCTCTCTCTCTTCCCGTTTCTCTCTCTCACTCCCTGTTTCTATCTCTCTCTACATTTTATTTAATTAATTAAATTACCAAAATTTAAATATTAATTAAAAGATATTTAAAATATATTCATATAACATTGTGTAAGAAAATGATATCTCCTCATCTCCCTTACTTTTACTTTTCCAGTGGCTCTCTCTCTCTCTCTTCCCGTTTCTCTCTCTCACTCCCTGTTTCTATCTCTCTCTACATTTATATTATTTATTTATTTTGAGTAGAATACGCTAAATCATAAAGTGTATTCAGATTCAGCCAATTCATTTAGCTTATTTGAAATGCGCCAAAAATATTTGACGATTTTGCTCTTTTTTAAATTAATTTTTTAGTACGCTTCTTATGCTAATTTTAAAAAATAGTGAGTTCATTCTTAAAATTTTACCGAAAAGGAATGCCCCGACCTTCCAAGTGCCTAGAGTTTAGAGGTGCAAACGACTCAAAGTTAAGTCGAGTTAAAGGTTGTTCGAGTCTAAATCATTAATTATATAGGTGGCTCGAGCTCGACTCATGTGTCAAAATCTCAGGCTCATATTGGGCTCATTAGTTCAAACTCGAATAGTGAGCTTGAGCACGACTCGATTACAAGTTTGATTATAAGCTCGAATTGATTATTTTTTATGAATTTTTCACATTCAAAAATGATGTTTTTAATAAAATTTTCAATTTTCACCATTAAAAAGTGCATTACAAGTTACTTGAAAAAATATGAGGGCATTTAGATAATATCTAATATAAAGCAATAAAAAAAAATTACATTCTCTTGACAAGAACAAATCACAAGGATATCGTATTAATAAAAATAATAACATGAATCCATAAAGGTTAGCATGGTGCCATGCAGGGGCGGAGGGAGGGGGGGCAAGGGGGGGCACGTGCCCCCCCTAAAATTTTTTAATTTTTTTGTTTCATGGATGGCTGCATGCGAGTATGTGACAAGAGCTTAAAGCATTTTTTTTTTTGAGAAAAGAAATAGATTTAGGTATAATTATTTAGTCACCATTTTTATTACATATAGTATATTCATAAAAAAAATATTTATCAAATTTATTGATCAAAATTTTTTTGGTCAAAATGAATCTTAAAAGTATTTTATTTATTTTAAGATATGTGTAATATACATTTTAATTGAATTTTTTATGTTTTGCACTCATTTTAAAGCAAATTTAAATGTGGTGGATTAATTTACATAAACAATTAGCATTATTTTTATAAATAATAAGACCTAACAATTTCATAATTTAACATGCAAGAATATGCCTTAGGCTTTGTTCGGAATAATTTTCTTATGAATTTTCACAATAATTATTTTATAAAAAATTTCACTGGCAAAAGTATCATATCACAGGCCCAAACAGAGACTGCTTCTAAATGGCTTGCGTTCCCTCGACACAAACTGCTTGCTTCGTTTTCTCCTATGCTCATCTCTCGCAACTCACAATCTCGAGCACAGTTTTCCTTTTCGTTTTCGCTCCTCTCTCGCCATATTATTTGCATTCTTAATTTTGATATTACAACTCTTAGCTCCAGTAATTAATAAGACGGAAAACGGAACTATTTTAATGTATTTTGACATTCAAGAT